TGTTTAGTCCAAACCAAAGCAGTTAGCCAATTGCTAGCGAGTTTGCAAATTGGCTGGCCCAATTATTCTGAGACTTGCTCTAGGACTTAAAAAAGACTTCAGTAAAAGTGTCACTGCTACCATAGTAACTGCTACAAATCTTGTGAGTTTTTGTAACTTGGTTTATTGTAATTCACTCTTTGGAACATGTTTGTAACATTCCATCACCTCCAAGTTTTCAGTTCTTTATTCATTATATACATGTGTTTATTTGCTAGGTGTATAACAGAAATGGATTACATTGATTCAAACGCCATGGAAGAATTGAATGTTGCAATGAGACAGATTTACATCACAAATAACAATGCATTATGTGGTGTGGATGGTGACGTCCATACTGGAGAGTACACAGCGAATACAACTTGCAACATGGCGTCAGAGTCAGCACGCTTAGCGTCATATCGAACATGGCCGCCACAGGCACCTTTGACACCACAGGCTTTAGCCCGAGCAGGATTTTTTTTCATTGGAAAACGAGATATTGTAGAGTGTTTCTGTTGCCATGGTAAAATTGAGAACTGGGAGTTTGGAGACTCTGCAATGGGGGAACATAAACGTTTGTTTGCAAATTGTCTGTTTGTGCTTGGAAAGGATGGGACTAACCAACCATTGTTGTCACGAAAATCTCAACCGTCCACTAAAGAGAAAATTCTTCTGAGTCCCAACCAGATGGAATCAGGAAGTGATACTGCACAAGAACAGTTAGTAACTGCGTTGGAAAATGAATTACAAGTTAAAGACAGCACTCAAAAATTTCATATGGAAAGTGAACGCTTAAAAAGTTTTAACAACTTTCCTCAAAATTCACCTATGAAACCTGAAGAACTTGCCCGAGCCGGGTTCTATTATTTAGGATATGCTGACACTGTTCAGTGTTTCATCTGTAATGGAATGTTGAACAATTGGAGAGATGGAGACATCGCTATGGTGGAACACCGTGACCACTTTCCTATGTGTCACTTTATACTTGGGGTGGATGTTGGAAACGTGCCACTCAGGAACAATTCCGAAGAGCGGTGTCTCAAGTCACCAGTACCAGTGTCTGAGGGGATAGATCCAAATATAGCTCATCCACAGTATGCTACTTTTAAAAGAAGACTTGATAGTTTTAATACATGGTCTTCTAAAATGAATCAGAAACCTGACGACTTGGCTGATGCAGGTTTCTATTATACAGGTAATTTATAATGTGCTCTTGTTTTTTGGAATGAACATTACTTTAATGAAGTGTTTTTCGTAAAGTGTTTAAAATTCATGACATTGAAAGTTTTTTTGTTATATTACAAATGTTAGCATTGTCTACAGTTGTCACAGCATGTGTGAAATAGGTTGCAAGTGTATGAAATTCGAACACTCGCAGCACCACAACTGTTACATTTTATGCAGTGGATTCACATTGTGCTTATGTACAGATGTGTTTCTATAGGAAAAAAAGTTGTAATGCATGTATAATGATTTTGTATGCTACAGATGTTATTAATGGTTTATAAGTCTTTCCATTGAAATAATATAGCAGGAGATTTGTTCAGCTGTTAATTAATTAACCTTTTCATCACCAGTTCCCTTTTTTCATCACATTTCAAAATATAGTCCTGTTTATAGTCTGCACTTTCCTTCAGAAGATTGTGACAAAAATAGCCAAAGTTTTTGAGTAAAAGCTGAAAATTGACTCAAATGTCTGTTGCCTTCAAAATTAATGTTCATTTTTAGAAATATTGAAGAATATAAGAAAAAAATGCGGAAAAATTTAGGCGAGAAATCTGGTGGTGAAAAGGTTAAACTGTCTTGGATCATCTAAATAACAGCTGTTGAAATTATCGTTATTGTCTGTGAAACAATGTCACATGTTACACAATATTTGCTCTATTATTAGTGTATCAACTACTTCTAGAATGGTTAAAAAAAGCCATATTTTAATCGAGTTTTAAAACGAGATTTATATTATTGGTTTATGTGTTCTTCATCAGTTCTATTTTTAGTAATCATGACAAATGCTATAGTGCTTGTACAGCATGGAAAGAACTGTTATTTTTATGGTGCTTTAGGTAGGGACCTAAATTATTTACAGAGTTTTGCAATTTTCTCTGAAAATTTGTTTAAATCCAAACTGAATGTATTATTGTTTTAATAGGAATTAAAGACAATGTGAAGTGTTTTTCCTGTGATGGTGGTTTGAGAAACTGGGAACCATTGGATGAGCCATGGAAAGAGCATGCTAAGTGGTTTCCAAGATGTGCTTATCTGCTGGAGAAACGTGGAAAGGCATTTGTGGATTTCATAAACACAGGGGACCATCATTACGTCTATGTTCCTACTGAACAAAAACCAGGAGATACTTGTGAAGTAAATGAACTTTCATTGTTTCAAAGTAGCAATTTGCATAGTGAAAACGAATAAATTTAGACAAGTTAATGATTAAACCGTTCCATATGCAAATAAGTCACATCGCTTGAGATTTTTTTCCTCTGGGAAAACTCTAAGCTGTAACTGCA